AGCAAAAAAAAAACACGGGTTCCATAAAATACTACTCATCTGGATGCAAGGAATCTCAAGCCTTCAAAACATACGGAAACACCACCTTTCGGATGGCTATGGCAACAGGATGGCTGCGTCGAACAGTGATGGTTGGTAGAGCTCTGGATAGCTCTGGGCTTAGGGTTTTTTGGACCCGACGATTTAGGAATCTCCTCGCAGCCATAGAGCAGTGTTGTTGTGGCTGCTGCAAGTGCCCTAGATCCTGCAGATACCCTACACGTACTGGGGCTTAATCGAGAATAAAGGAATGGATTATGTAGGGTTATGTAGGGANNGATCACGTTCCCTTATTCCCTACTAAGAACCAGTAAGTACAGTCCCAGCATAAGCCCAGATACTAAAGATCCTGCATGAGCCTAAATACCTCATACCTCAGGCATTCTGGCAGTATGGTAAACTAAGGTCATGCAGGAGTTTTAGGGTTTAGGGCGTAGGGTTTATTTATCAACAGTATCAATGCGTGGCAGGAATGGGGCTTCGGAAAGGAGCAGGCCTCCGTAAATCCGAAATCCCAAGCCATCGTAAGCCCTAAATCTTAAACCCTAAATCCTAAAGTGGCCTAAACCCTAAGTCCTAAATCCTAAAGCCTAAATCCTAAATCCTAAACCATCTCTTCCAAACCCCATGAAACCATCACAAAGCACCTCCTTGTCCAGCACCCTGGTCGCCGCCTTCATTGTCCGGTACCCTGCAGCATCTCACTTGTGTTCAGTCAAGGTATGGATACCGTTATATAGGGTTTAGGGTTTAGGGTTTAGGGTTTAGAGGTTTAGGGGTTTAGGGTTTAGGGTTTAGGGTTTAGGGTTTAGGGTTTAGGGTTTAGAGGTTTAGGGTTCGCCAGCGCAGCTCGGCGCCCAAGTCAACTCCCTCTCTTAAAGGGGTCGGCCCTAACACTTAATCTTTTAGATGCATTTGCAGTTAACGAACGTTCTCCACATGTTAAAATGCGTTTTCCTTTTTGCAACAGTCTTTCATGCTACCAGGGCTCAGAAAAGGCCCAGAAGCCTCTGCCCTAAGCTCGAGCTTAGGGCAGACCCCAACAAAAAGCCAAAAACGTGTTCACATTTTTAGATGCATGTGCATTTAACGAAAGTTCTCACATTTTTAGCTACCGCTTGCACTTTGCAAAGTTTTTGCATGCTACCGGGGCCCAGAAACCCAGAAGCCTAGAAAAGACAAGAGAAGAGGGTGCCCAGAAAAGGCCCGGAAGAGGCCCGGCAGCCCAGAAGAGGCCCAGAACTTTCAGGAAAAGACACAGAAAACCGGCTGCCCAGAAAATGCCCAGAAGAGGCCCTGGGCCCAGAAGATCCCAGAAGGGCAGAAAAGGCACCGAAACGATGCACAAGGGGCAGGCCCGGAAAAGGCGCAGAAGCCTAGAAGCCCAGAAAAGCCTCGCAAGAGGCCCGGCGCCCACCAAAAAAAGGCTTGTAGGCCCAAAGCCCAGAATAGGCGGGGAGAAGGACAGAAAAGCTTCTGAAGAAGCTTGCAACCCAGAAGAAGCCCAGAAGCCTAGAAAAAACACAGAAGGCCGGAACCCGGGGCGTAGAAAAGGTCCAGAAGGGCAGAAAAAGTCCAGAACAAGCCCGGGGCCTAGAAATGGCGCAGAAGCGCTCTAGAAGCCCAGGCAAGGCCCAGAAGAGGCGCACGAAAACTTCAGAAAGCCAGAGAGAGCGCTTTAAGTTAACTGGCCAAACTTCCAATTTACTTAAACCTACTTTTGCTGGCAAGCCCACAAAATGCTGCACTGGCGCACCAGGGCGTAAGCCCCTTAAAGTTTAGGGTTTAGGGTTTAGGGGTTGAGGGTTTAGAGGTTTAGGGTTTAGGGTTTAGAGGTTTAGGGTTTAGGGTTTAGAGGTTTAGAGTTTAAGGTTTAGAGTGGTTTAGGGTTTGAAAGGTAGTTATCAGAGACTGTAAGATATTGCTGGTCATAATCGCCCCTACCCAGTGTTTACTTGGGACTGGGAGCATGGATTTTCACACGCATTCTTGTATAATTCCCCAGCGTAAATCCTGTAATGGTCCTCATAAATCCGTTCCAAATAAAGCATGACCAGTCATCATGAACCTAGGAAGTAACTTTTCAAGGATGATTTCACAATTATATGGGCGCCTCTCAAAATGAATGACCCCAAGCGACCCCAAAAATTGTATAGAGGGATAGCAGAAGGGGAATTTAGGGCTTCTTATTATAGAGGTTATGTAGGCAAAAATTTGGGACACGTCCATTCACCATTCACCTGAACAAAGCCTATACATCCAAGAAGGCAACAAGAATCAAAAGTGTGTGTCCCAATCTCCACTCATCCCTCGGCATGACAAACATAACCGGCCAATCCAACATGTTGAGAACACACACATTTGTATCACTAAGCTTCCTTTGCAAGTACGAGTTGGCACCTTATCTCAACACTGACTTTTTTCGGCATCGAGAAGAAAACCTGATAAGACTTCAAATACGTATGTAGGTCAAAGCCCTGGTACATTCATGCTGTTTCATGGTACCAGTGCCAAATGTACTATAGTCTAAACTCCTTAAAGGAGCTTATATAAGGGAATATACAGGGGAGTATTATAGGGGTCATTAAAAGGGACTGTAGCTCAAATGCTCCCTCCATGACTAAAAGCGCTTCTATCATCCTGCTGCTGGTGCCAGTGGTGCGGAGGACTCATTACATAATTCGCCCCCGTCCTCATCCCCCTCTAACCAACGAATCCCCATCTTGCTCCTAGACAAACCCCAGGCCCTACCACAATTCCCATCACGCTCTTTAGGAACCGTTATCCATTCCTTCACTCCTTATTAAACAGCTTCCAACACGCAGTCTTAGCTGCTCGGCGAGAAAAGGTCCCAAATTCGCCGAGCCAATCCTCCTTCACGATTAGAACAAGTCGGATTCAGGGCTTTAGGGTTCGGGTTTAGGGTTTAGGGCTGAATGTTTAAGGTTAGAGCTTCGGGCTTTAGGCCTTAAAATTCTGAAGCAGGAAGCATGTCGCATTGTTGTTACGTAAAGAGTGTAGTGAAGAACTACATTGAAGATACGACCTCAGGCCTGGGTCTAAGCTGATTAACTTGGACACCACTGTTGAAATTACAAACCCTGCCTGAACTTAGCCCGATATAATACCATCACAGTTCCGAAAGCATAGGGTCATCCAGGATCTTTAGGCTCAACTGCAGGTTCTCCTTGAAGTTCCACGCCCCCTTTGACCCCCCTTCTAGGTTCATCACACACAACCAGGGATCTCAGGAAAGCTTGCATGCGGATTTGCTAAGCAAATCATCCATGGCTATGTGTAGAATTGAACGTCGCTATGTTACCTCCAAATGCACCTATCAAAAAAACGACCTTGAGCCCTGAACACCTAAAGCCCAAGACCACCATCGCCTTCAAAAGAAAAACTTGTCACACTCTATAACTTTCCATTCTTGGACCTGCACATGAGCTTGATGTTCCCCCTTCCCCATCCGAGACACGAGACTCACAAAACCGTTACATGATTCTTTGGGGGGACCGCCAGGCATTGTTTCAACCCCAATGCTAACACTAAAATACACCCAAACTGCTAAACCTGAAGGCACAGCAGGGGCAATGTGAGCTATAGTCCCCCTTAGTAACCCCAATAATATTCCCCTATAAAATCCCCTATAGAACCCCTTTGAGGCGTTTAGACACTAAACCCTATATCTATACATATATATATATGTAGGTATCCTATATAACCCCGATAATCCCCTATATAACCCCTTTAAGGAGTTTAGACTATAGCAAAACTGCTGCTACTTTTCAACACCCCTCCATAGCGGCCACCAAACGGCCATGGCAAGAAGGTACTGAAGAAGATGTAGGAAGCCTTCAAAAGAGGGTTATTTACGGTTTAGGATTTAGGGTTTAGTTTGGGGTCTAAACTCCTTAAAGAGGGGTATATAGGGGATTCCATAAGGGACTATTACAATGGCTACTAATGGGGTATACTAGGAGTTTAGACTCACCCAGAGTTCCAGGCTCCATAATGGGCTTAGGGTTGAGGATGTCAGGTTCAGAGCAAGGCTTTAGGACTGTTGGGTGTTCCGAATAACTGAGATTGGAGACCATGTAGGGACTAGGGCCCTAAACCCTAAACCCTAAACCCTAAATCCTACATGCAAAGCAGGTACAAATGTATCCCAGAAGCAATGGAGTCGACGGCATGGTTGCGCATGTTGTTCTGAGCCGTGTCAAAGGCCTCATCGGCGCTTTTTTTGTATCGGGATATCTCAAGAAATCCTACAAGTCAAGGGCATATGGGTCAGAGCGAACCGGGACCTAACCAAACCCAAACGCGCCCAGTGTAGACCCAAAAACACTCCCTGTGGCAAATTTGCATGTAAGCCGCTCCGCATGCCTTCTAAACTGCAGCATAGCCCCGACTCTACATCCTGGCGGGCATAGAAGAATGAGCTAGAGGCCTTCCCGTACTTGTTTGGCACGCCCTCAGCAGTGTTGGACTCTTCTCCAAAGAAGATCCGCATGATGCTGTCAAAAGTGAAGTTGAAGAAGCCTTAACACAGAAAAACTGGAGGAGTCAACAACGTAAAGTGGCAGGTGGCGGTGCACCTAGTCTGCATCATGCAACTGTCTCACCAGAAGCCATTCGCCGAAAGCAACATGAGCTGTAGTCTAAATTCCTAATATCCCCCTTGATGACCCCTATGATAGTCCCCTATATAATCCCCCATAGAACCCTGTAGCTCACATCAAGCAACCAACCAGTGCTGCCCAGTCACACGACTGCAGATCCACCGGATTCCCTTGGCGCTGAGATTTCTGGAGGAATTTACGGAGAGTCTCGGCCTTCTCCAAAAAAACTTCGTTCATCCTCGGACAAGTGGCAGTACATTGGGGTTATATTGGGATGATGGAAAAGAAAAAAAGCTACCATCTAGGGTTTAGGGCTTAGAGCTCAGGATGTTTTACTGTGTTGGCTTTATATTGGGGTTTTATATTGGGATAATGGAAAAGAAAATGGTAACTACTTTAGTATATTGGGGTTATATGTGGATTGCATAGGGGTTATACTGGTATACGTAACCAAGATGTCTGATCCACTGCATACTGAGCTGAGGCACAAATTATTGAAATTCTTCCGGCTGAATATTTGAGCCGAAACTTTTCGCATGTTGGCCCAATCTTGGCCAGCATCTGAAGAGCCTACAGGCCGACAAAAACAGCAGTTTCGTGCTTCAAGTCTGGGATTTGGTAGTTTACCAAAAAGGGGGAACCCAAGATAGACCCCAATATACTATGATCCTTATTCTAGGGAACTCCAAAAAGGTACCCATAATTTTGGGAAACCCTCTTTTCAGGGAGAAAAAGTAAGCCGGGCCTACACCGTGCTTCACAACGAAAATACCATCGCCCAAGAAGTCCTGGTGATGACGCGGGAGTCTCTCAGAACCAGCCCTGGGGAGTATATGCTAGTTTCCCTAAGTGAGGGGTACCCTTGAAGGGGGTTATAGGGGTTATTTAAGGATATACAGGGTTTAAGCGGGGATTATCAACAGATTGTGGTGGTCCCTACGGTTGGTAGGGAATAACGGAATATTACCTAGAAACTATGTAGGGATTTATTCCCTTATTCCCTAGGAACCGCCAGTAAGACGTGACCAAAGACTTTGTACTAACGGCTTTGAGACATG